GGAAAAAGTCCTCAAATACCCATGTCCACACTGCAAATCACCATTAGGGTAAAAAAGGAAGCATAAGAATGAGGAAGTTTCAGGTGCATTTTTCTCTTTGAAGTGCTTCAGTTTCTTCCTCACCTCTTCATCATTTCATACATCACAGATAAAGGTAACAGCCAGGTGATCCTACCTCTCCCCTGCATCCCAGCTCCCAACAGACATTGTTTCAAGTGCTCAATGTTTTCCTTTCCACAAGGCCACCGACTCAATTCAGCAAAAGCAGAAGCCAATGCTTTGTGCATTTCCAAATCCTGACAGCTGTGACTCTACAGTTTTGATAAATGCATAAGATCAACACTGTTTGCTTGTTTTAAATTGTTGGTGATGTAATAATCCATCAGTCCATTATACTAAATAATCCCCTATTATTCTGCAGGACTCCAGGGGAGTTGCTCCAGAGAGGATGAAATGAACCTAATATATGTTTTATTACTATGTTTTCAACAATAACAGACAGCTGTTATTTTTACATATTGATAGTATGCTTAGTCCTCAACAGGACCATTTAAAAAAAAATCCCTACCCTGCAAGGACCTTACAGTTTACACAGACAACATAGTATGTATAGGGGTTACAAGCAGGGATCTGAACAAGTAGTTGAGGAGATGATTAACTGATAAACCTAGGTTTATAGGTTAATCTAGTCAAATACTTGCATTCCCCACCCCTCTTGCTGCCTCTGTATCAGGCAGCAAGGGGGGAAGAGCAGGAGCTGGTGCTTGGGGAAGCACCTGGCTTCATGGCTTAATGGTGCTGCCTGCCCTTCCCCTGTGCTGCTGCCTCTATTGGGCGGGGGATAGGGGAGGTTGCCACGAAGCAGCCTCTGACCATGGCAGGCCCAGGCTCACCATGGACAGAGGCTGCTTGGCAGCAGAGGCTGCTTTGCACCTCAGACAGGCAGCACTGCGGAGCCTATCAGAGGCACCATGGGAAATGCATGTAGTCAACACCAGGCTGCTGTTGCAGCCTCTGTCTGTGGGGAGCTCAGACCCCCGTGGACAAGGACTGCTGCCACCCCACATTGCTGCCTCTGTAACAGAAGCAGCAGCACAGGGCAGCAGGCAACCAGTCCATGAGGGGAGCTGGTTTTTAAACTGGCTCCCCTCACAGACTGGCTCCCGCCTGGAACCCCACACTGCTGCGTCTGATAAACAGGCAGCAACATGGAGTGGCAGAGGCTCCCCGAGAGTGGGGCCGGATTGCTCTGGCTGCCAGCCCATCCCCCAGGGACTACAGAATAGTCAACTAACCGCTAAGATTTATGCTGTTAGTCAACTATTCTATTACCCGCTATCTAACGTCCCTGCTTACAGGATGGTTCCCTCTATGAGTGTGTATTTTCTTTAAATGTAATGGTCTGAGGGGTTAGACTTTGGAGGCTGGCTGGAAGAGTTAAGTTTTGAAGAAGAAAAGGAAAAAACATAGCAGCCTGGTGCCTTAGGCTAGAGAGTTTGTTAAAGGAGTGTGTGCAGCATGAAAGAATGGAGATTTTGTGTGTGTGTATGAATTTACTTGGCATTCTAGTTTATATTACAGTATTGCTGAAGTATTTAATCAAATATTAGGATCCACTGTGCTAGGGACTGTACTCACAAATAGTTTGAAAATAGTCACCATTGAGGTAATATATCTCAGCATAAAGTTTAGTTTATTATTTTAAAATGTATCTATTAAAAAAAGCCATAAGAATAGAGTAATGCAAACACAGACACAGGACTGAAATTAGAAGAATTTTTTTCAGTATGATAAAGCAGCAAATCTCACAATAACAGCCTAATCAGAACTGGAATGTTGCCCTGAGAATGGAAAATTAGAACATAAAACAGAGCCACAAATGCACCAAAGTCAAGCTGAGGGATAGATCCTCTGCCCTCTTTCTCAGCATGGAAGACTGTCTTTACCTTAGCTGGGAATTCAGTTTGGACCGTGAATTCCCAGTTGTTGTAAAGCCAACCTAGAGAGCTGTATTGCACCTGCTCGTGCTCCCCAGCCTGGTCCCGCAGGCATTCTAGGTGCAACAGGGTGTGGCTGGAGCACTTTGTGATCTGGCAGTCCTGAGTTGGAGCATTGCAGGCTAGAGCAGCCACACGCATAACATAGGAGTACTGGACCCTAACCATTTGTGAATTTATGTAATAAGTTCTAAGCAAGCCAGATGAAAGTGTAAATGATACAAACTCAGGGTGCTCTCTGTCCTTTGTAGCAGGGATCATATGTTTGTAGTGTGTTTAGCACGTGGAATATCCAACCCTGATTGGTGCTAACCTCCATAATACAATAATATTCATGTGCTGTACATGTACTAAAATACATCACAATACACACCAACCTTTTTGTGACCGGAGGAGTTGGACCACTTGTTTCATAGGACTTTGCCCTAATGCCTTTGAGCCTTCATTTTGTCTTTTGCTTGTTTACAGGTGACTGCTGGTTCCTGGCTGCCATTGCTTGCCTGACATTGAATGAAAAGCTGCTCTGCCGAGTCATACCTCACGATCAGACCTTCATAAAAAACTATGCTGGGATCTTTCACTTCCAGGTGAGTCCAGTCCACAAGCAAGAAGAAGGTATTCGCTTTGTCTCATCTGTCCCATGCCAGTGCAAGTAACAAGGGGGGAGATGTAGGAAGTAAATTCCCACATGCCAGATTATTCTAGGAGAATCACAGAACAACCAACCTGACATAGTAATTGAGGAGCATTAAGTCACCATAGAAATATTTGCAAATTAATATGCCCCATCAGTAAGAGAGAGCAACAGGTGTTCCCTATGACTGCTCAGCTGACCCAGGCTGCCCACTGCATGGACTATAGATAAACTGTTGACTGGAAAGGGGACCTATTTTTAGTCCCTCAAACAGCTGATCTCTATTGAGGTCATATTGTAAAAGGATTGATTATACACTGATAGAAAATGATCAATGTTACCTGTAACCCTGTTTCTGAAAAGACTCCATGCAGGGCTGTGTGTGTTGCAGGAGCGAACTCGGTCCATCTATCACACTTGCAGGTGTCATTGCAGTTTTACAATGTCTCTTCTCAACCTCTTCCCCTTCACCAGCTGTTTGTAATCTGGATGGATGTGTGATTCCTGGGAAAGTGTGGAGGGACTACTGGAAACTGCGTTCTCTATTCTATCACAACACAAGGGCCAGTGTAGCACAAGGTCCACCACATGGCAGAAAGCCCAACCCACCAATCCTGGCAGGGTTTGGCAGTTACAGGGCTGCACAGAAGCCATTGCTGCCAGTCAGGGAAGAATCAGACTCCAGGGGAAGGAGGAGGTAGACACTTCAGAAATTAGGGTAGGAAGGAGGGGGTTAAAGAGAGAATGGTGTGGATTAAGATGGACATTTTGGGTGGGCAGCTCAAAGGGCCTGGTGTAAGAAGGGGACTCTCACTTTGAATTTTTGCTTGTCTAACTATTATGTCTTTTAGTCTTCTAACACCAAGGCCGAGCACCCACAGTTCCCACTGACATAAATTAGGGCTATTGGTAGTCAGCATTTCTGGAAAGCAGATCTCGAATGCAGAGACCTCCAAAAATGTTTAGGAAATAGACTAAATTCATGGCTCTTCTAAATCTCAAGACAGATTTCCCTCCTACCATACTCACTAATATATTTTTCTGTATGCTTTTCTTCAGTTCTGGCGCTATGGAGACTGGGTGGACGTTGTTGTTGACGACTTTTTACCAACATATAACAACCAGCTGGTCTTCACCAAATCCTCCCAGCGCAATGAATTCTGGAGTGCTCTGCTGGAAAAGGCTTATGCAAAGTAAAGGAATGCTTTAGAATTGCAATGTGTCTCCAATAGCCTTACACTCTCTGTGGGGCGGTGATGGTGTGTCTGTATGCAAGAGTTCACACAATTCTCTTCCAAGTCGTTATAGAGACAAGCCATAATGCAGAAATGTTGTTGGATGTCTCTTGCACAAGCCCCTCTTTGAAAAAATCTGTACATGCAGACAACATTTTCCCATGGTTTTCTAGTGGCTTAGACTTGGGGTAGGGTGTAATAAGCTGTGTAGAGCAGTTTTCAGAGTTTGGCCTGCTGCTTAACCAGATGTCAGCACTTAGTTCTTAAAAAACCCCAAACATCTTATTTTTGTAGATATGAGTGACATAAATTAACATTTTCAACATGACCTTTATCAAAATGATGAAATAGAACCAAGGCAAGATTGTTTCTGGTATAACTTTTTTTTTCACTGTTCCAAGACTCCACGGATCTTATGAGGCGTTGAAAGGAGGCAATACTACAGAGGCTATGGAAGATTTCACAGGTGGAGTGACTGAGTTCTATGAGATAAAAGATGCACCGAAAGATATATACAAAATCATGAAACATGCCAGTGACAGAGGATCACTCATGGCCTGCTCCATTGATGTAAGTCCCTTGTATATTGCAACTGTAAAGGAGTGGGGTCTCTAAGTCAGGGGTCAGTCACAAACGTCTTTTTCAAGTGCTTTGCTAAACGGACATAGTGCAAATCTATTTCTAAGGCAAAAGAATCTCTGTTAGGTCTGAGAAACTCCACCAGGAAAGGTGAGAGTTTCTATTACATTACTGATGGCTGGCTCTTTGGAAAAGTTGACAAGAATTGTCCACACCCAAAGAAGAATGTGGGATGTTCAAAAGATGTTCCCTATGCCTCTGGCTTCACAAAACCCCAAAATGTTATACTGGAAATGTTTTGATTTATTATAGCTTGTAAAGAGAAGGGACCTAAATTCTGAGGTTTTTACTCAGTTTTCATTCAGTCCACATGCAGACGAACTCCCACTGTAGTCCTTAGAAGTTGCTTTACGTATGGGCTAAATTAAGGCCTCAAGATTTGTACCACAAGGAGTAAGAAAACTTGTATTGTGGTCTGAGCAAGGGATTGTGAGCTAGCAGTCATCAGTTCTTTTCCCAACTTTAGGACTTCAGGCCCTGATCCTGTGAGTTGCTCTGCTCCTCTACACACAGAACCCCACTGACTTCAGTGGGTTCCACAGATGCAGAAGGGCTTGCAGGAGGGCCCAGCTGTGTGTCTTGAAGCAAGTCACTTAACCCCCATGCCTCTGTTTGCCCGTTGCATCCCTAAATTTCAAAGTGTTTTACAAAAGAGGCCAGTATCATCATCCTCATTTTAGAGATGGGAAACTAAGGCACAAGTGGGGGGAGTGGGAGTGACTTGCCCAAGGTCACTTAGTAGGCCAGTGGCTTAGTTGGAAATAGAATCCAGGACTCTTGAGTCCTGTCCAGTGCTCGATCCTTTAGAACACACTGCTGTTGTATACCGCTTTGCGGGAGAAGCAGAGTGCTATGGAATTTTAAAGCAAGATTAATCAGCACAGAATTTCTGAGTCTTTAATTTTCTTGAAGCCTACAAAGATCAAATCTATATCCTGCAGTGGCTTAGTTGGAAATAGAATCCAGGACTCTTGGACTGCTGTTGTATACCGCTTTGCGGGAGAAGCAGAGTGCTATGGAATTTTAAAGCAAGATTAATCAGCACAGAATTTCTGAGTCTTTAATTTTCTTGAAGCCTACAAAGATCAAATCTATATCCTGGCCCTGATGCCAGAGGAAACACATGCAACTGAGGGAGTCATATTAATGCACTGCCACTGGTATTGATTAATGTGCCAGAAAAATGATGCAAAAAAGGACAAAAATAAATGGACAAAACTTACACATGAAATAATTACAATTAAAAGCTAAGTACATCCAAATATAGAGGGGAAATTAACTAATTAATTAATTACTCACTCTGTATACGTCTACTTGGCTTTTTCTGCAAGATTCCTGACTACCTAATGAAGTTCTGCTTTTTCAGAACCATTAGTTACAGAGGTTACAACAGGAAAAAAGAGGGAAATGTCCACATTTCAGTGGGCTTGAGTTCTGAATCATCTTCTGGAGACCCTTCTCAGAACTTTCACCTGATGTTGTATTGCACCACACTTCCACATTGCCTCACATAATCATTTCTGGATATGACTTCACTTCATAATGTGACATAATTTCATAGCGACACAGTGTCACACAAAGGCAGGTAATCAGATGGGACACTGCCCTTTCTTTCTGGAAGGAGGTGTCCTCACTGAGGTGGAACCTCTTCAAGTTGGGGATGGGGGGCAGTGTATGATTTTTGTGAAGTAGAGCTAAGTGCCCTTTAACCACAAATCTCCCATTTCTCTTTGACCTCTGTGCAGAGCTGTCATAATAGTTAGAGACACAGTTCATGTCAATAAGAGTTTAGGACTTTAGAGCTACAATAGTAGCACTGCTGCTCTTGTGTCATTGTTTAATCCTTTGTTAAGATAAAAGAGCAGCTCCTCTGGCATGTAATGTGGGAAAATGGAAATTCTCTACTTAAGCTTATCATCTTCCATCCCTTTCTCATTTTTCTTTCTTTTATTTAAGTTTTTTTTTCTCCTCCTCTCTTCCTTCACTAATTCACTTTCCATGTAACACTTTCTTCTCTCATTTTCTGTACCAGGACAATATGGGCTTTTCATATGGGAGTGCTCCTCAAAGTGATCTTGGGGAATTAATCGCCCGAATGGTGAAGAATGTGAATAGCATGCCACAGATTGACCCGGCTCTAGAGTTCCAAAGCGTAGATGAAAGGCCAGCCTGGGTTTGTATGCCTCAAGCGATGCTGATCTTCTGTCCCCTGTCTCACAGCTCTTCTAACTGGTATAGTTACAGGGAGGACATCACAGCAACCATGTTTTGAAACCCTTAACACATTGCATTGAAGATCAGTTGAAGATTAAAAAAAAATGTTCTGAAAAGTTTTGGGGATCTGTGTGTGCTTAGATACTAAATGATTTTAAGCCTTTCAAGATCTGATGATACGTATACCTCACACGGGGGGGCCGACATATATGCTGGGCCCTTGGGCAAGGCAGTGAGGGAGGTGTGTGTCTTTGTACTCCTGGAAGGGGCAAGGCCTTAGGCAGAAGGGGCTGGGCTGGTGACTAGCCTCCCCCAAGCAACACTCAGTGCCACCCAGAGTACACCATGCAGGGTTCAGATGGTGCTTTAAAATGGCCCAGAGCTCTGGGCCTCTTTGAATCACTGGGCCAAGAGACAGTTGACCTCGCCCCCGCTCCCCCACCACCATTGGCAAGCCTGAACTTACACAAGACATTGATCATATCCACACTTATTGGTAGTTTGGCATTGCTGTGATTGATGCAGCAGTTTCCATTTAGCAGGTCTAGTGAAGACCTGCTAAGTCAATGGCAGAGTGCTCTCTGGTACTCCAGCTCCCTTAGAAGAGTAAAGTAAGTTGGCAGGAAAGTGTCTACTGTTGACACAGTGTGGTGTGGTGTCTATACCGTGGTTAGTCAACCTAAGCTACATTGAGTTTGGTTACATTATTCACATAACTTGAAGTAGTGTAACTCTGATTGACTTACCATGGTAGTGTAAACCTGCCCTAGATTAGCAGCTGTCACAGAACTCATATATACAATTTGCTACCACTAGAGAAGCAACAACTAAAAGTGTCAGGAAGTAAGGACTCAACTTCTCTCTTCCAGTAACAGTGCTATGTCATTGTTTAACCTTTGTTAATTATACAACACTTAGGGTGCATCTACACTGCATCCTTAGCTCAAAATAAGCTATATAATTTGAGCTATGCAAATTGTGTAGCTTATTTCGAATTAATTTGAAAAGAGAGAGCTATTCCAAAACATCCCTTTATCCTTACAGGGACGTTGAAATAGTGCAACCGTTATTTTGAAAGCTATTTCGAAATAACAGGCATGCTGTTAAGATGCAGAAAATGCTATTTTAGTTTACTGGAAGTATCCCAAAAAAGTGCCACTGTCTAGACCTTAAGGATGGATATTGAAGATTATGTACTATGTGTATTTTTATGACTTTTAAAATCAAACTATGTACCTTTGGATAATATAAGCATTATGCCAAGTTATATGGAAATTCTTTCTTTAACCTGTGTATTAGATAATTTTAAAAAATCAGTTTATTATGTTTCATAAATGCATTGACTTTTGAGTGTATAAGGAATTACATCAATCAACTAGGCCAAAAGAATTTTATTCAGTAATTCTTCTATTAAGTTCATATTTTATGGCTGAACTACAACATTTTTTAAGAAAGACATCCAATCTTGAAGACTTCAGGTGATGGATAATCCACCACATCCTTTGGTACACTGAGCTGTATCTCGTACAGCTTCTCTTAGGGTCAGACTATAACTTAACCATGCAGTTAGATTAATTCTGTGACTTATGGGTCTCTTCCCATGCTAAAATCTATGATCCTATGACAGAGAAGCAAATGGGTATTGTCCTAATTTCCAAGGGACATGTTTGTTGACTTAGAGCAGTGAAGAGGGAACATGGCTGCCTTAAATACAGGAATGGGTCGGTTATGTGCTTCATACTGTTTTTATTCCATCTTTTACAGACTATAGTCCCAATGCAGTTTGAGACACGCATGACTTGTGGACTAGTCAAAGGACATGCCTATTCAGTTACTGCAGTGGAAGAGGTACATATGGATTTATTCTTCCCTATAGATAGGAACAAGCCATTGTTTAGGACAGTGCTAATATATGGTACTGTCAAAACATGGAGACATAAGTTTTTGTGAGCAAAATAAGCATTAAAATAAACAAAAGGTTCCTTGAAAAAGGAGAGGTAGAAACTCATTAAGTTATTGGCTGGGAGGGGCAGAGGAGTGTTAATAATGCACTAAATGCATACAATCATGTTTTCTTTTTTAACAAGACATCATTTAAAGCAGGAAAAATAAAGCTAGTGCGGCTGAGGAACCCGTGGGGACAGGTGGAATGGAAAGGAGCCTGGAGCGACCGGTAGGTGAAAAGCAAACATAGGAATCTATAACGTGTGGTTTTAAATGTCATGTCATTTTACATGCATTGTGCTTGTTCTATGATTGTGTCCTACGACCTAAAACAAGGTGGCTGTGTCTAGACTGGCATGATTTTCTGGAAATGCTTTTAACAGAAAAGTTTTCCATTAAAAGCATTTTCGGAACAGAGCGTCTAGATTGGCACAGACGCTTTTCCGCAAAAGCACTTTTTGCGGAAAAGCGTCCATGCCAATCTAGACGCACTTTTCTGCAAAAAAGCCCCGATTGCCATTTTTGCGATCGGGGCTTTTTTTGCAGAAAACAAATCTGAGCTGTCTACACTGGCCCTTTTGCGCGAAAGATTTGCCCAAAAGGACTTTTGCTCGAACGGAAGCAGCATACTATTTCTGCAAGAACACTGACAATCTTACATGAGATTGTCAGTACTTTTGCAGAAATTCAAGCGGCCAGTGTAGACAGCTGGCAAGTTTTTCCGGAAAAGCGGCTGATTTTCCAGAAAAACTGGCCAGTTTAGACACTGTGTGTGTGTGTCCGTGCACTAGTACTGACACCTGTACTTGCAATAGGAAAGTATCTATTTTTCTGAAGGCTGCACTGAGTGCTTAGTTGGGGGATTACTTTAGGCAGGACAGAATTGTAAGAAAATACAATAGCTACTCAGGGAAGAGGACTCTTGATGACAAAGGGAGAGAAAAGACCCTGGCTTAATGGTTCAGCTAATAGATTCTCCTGCCTGTTGAGTTCTCTTGCAGACATAGACAAGACTGGGACCTGGAATGAGAGAGAGTCTGCTAATGCATTCATGGGTGATGGGTATCACAGGCCAGGGGATGCAAAGCCCCTTCAAAAGGCCATGGGTGACCCCACCCATGCTTCATTCCAAGGCTGCCTTCTGCTTCCCACTCTTCCCCTGTGGTTCCAAACCAGGCTGCTCCCCTTCCCCAAAGGAACCTGAGGCTGGGTCTAAGGTGGGCCACCCAATGGCCCAGGACTTGGGGGCAGGTGGTGCCACATGCCCAGTGCTCTGGGGCTAGGGACGCTTAGGAGGCCAAGCCAGGGCCACTCTTGGGCAGAGGGGCCAGCAGCTGCAGTGGAAGCCTTGGCTCTGGCAGATGGAAGGGTGAAAGACAGGGCCTCGAGCAGAAAGAGCAGGGCTGGGATCTGGCCTCCCCGAATGGTGGTTCATGTGCCAGTCAGGAATGAACAGAATAGCAGGAGGAGAGAGGCTCTGAGAGCAAGTGTGTGAGGAAGAAGGAAAGATTTCTCATGGAGGTTGGCAAATAGGAGCCTCAACTGATCTTAAAATAGGGCTGGAGCTTGCATCCCTTTCCATCGCTTACCTAATCAAAGAGCTACAGTAGGGCGGATTGCTGAGAGCTAGAAACATACAATAGAAACTAAAGCCTGAGGTGTTTGTACACTTCCTTGCCTGTGGGGATGGTGGAAAGGTGGTGATTGTGGTAAAGTCGACAGCACAGAATAAGAGAATTGAATCAAACTTGTTTCTCATATCAGCATTAAAGGAGGCAGGAAGAGGGAGACTGTCTGGGATGTTTAAGATATAACAACAAAAACCTACCATTCATCGCTGTAAGACGATTAGGAATTAGGAAATTTTTGTCCCAGCTGTTGGCATTGTACACCGGAGGGCTTACATTAAGTATTAGCAATTTCTTGAATAACTATGTGTTGCAAAATGCAAGAGATTCTGGTTTATTCTTTTGCAGTTCAGATGAATGGACCTTAATTGACAAAGCAGAGAAAATCCGACTACAGCACAATATTGAAGAGGATGGGGAGTTCTGGTGAGGACACACCTTCCATCTCAGATGTTGTTTCCCCAGAAGTTTTTCTATGTCTGTGCTTCACTGGGTACATGTGAGAGCTCCTAGAAATTCCAGAAAGAACCATCACTCCACAAGTTAAGGTTGCACAGACATTCTTACTACCAGTGCTCTGATGAGCATGTGCAAACTGAAATTTTTTTTAGAAACTTACAATTTGGCCAAATGTGTTTGTTTTTCCAGAGAACTGTAAAAAATGTACGCCACTGACAGCAGGGTGACAAACCCTTTCCCCAGCTGCCAAATTTCAAGTTCCAATATAAACAAGTGCTGGCATGAGTGCATCTACTCAAACTGGAATTCATATTCCCAGCTACAAGTGTAGGTGTAGCATGTAGCTGACATGGGAGGTATATTCAAAGTGAGCGTCATATGATGAAAAAACTGAGTAGCACAAATCTATTGTATCTTTAGAAGAAAAAAAATGAGTGATTTAATTTGTGTGGGATTTTTTTTAGGTATCCATGCAAATAAATAAATAAATGAGGGTATGTCTACCCTACCCCGCTAGTTCAAACTAGCGGGGTAATGTATGCATACCGAACTTGCTAATGAAGCCTGGGAAATTCAAATCCCGGGCTTCATTAGCATAAAGCCGGCGCCGCCATGTTTAAAAGCCGGCTAGTGCGAACCCCGGGCCGCGCGGCTACACGCGGCACGGGCTAGATAGTTCGAACTACGTAGCCATTCCGATCTATCTGTACACCTCGTGGAACGAGGTGTACAGATAGTTCGGAATAACTACGTAGTTCAAACTATCTAGCCCGTGCCGCGTGTAGCCGCGCGGCCCGGGGTTCGCACTAGCCGGCTTTTAAACATGGCGGCGCCGGCTTTATGCTAATGAAGCCTGGGAAATTCAAATCCCGGGCTTCATTAGCAAGTTCGGTATGCATACATTACCCCGCTAGTTCGAACTAGCGGGGTAGTGTAGACATACCCTGAGAGATGGCATCAAGTCACAAACTTCAGAAGCAGATCTGGATCTACGTTTCAAACATCCCAAAGTTATGGGTGTCCTAATCCATCTTTGGGCTTGACACATTTGCAAAGTGTAATCCAAGTTTAGATTTCAAGTACCCCCAACAAATGAGAATGAGTAGACAGAGACTTTTAATTCATGCCCTTCTCTAATATAAAAGTAAAAGTGACATCATAGACACTATGTATGTAATAGTGTAGTTGACTAAACAATTAACTGATAAGCGGATGCTTATTGGTTAATGCTGTTGATTACACACAACACCTCCCAAGTAAATTTTTAGCAGGCTGGCTGAGAGGCTGGCTCAGTCCCGGCATCAACCCCCATGCTCGCTCTTAGTGCTTATAGTAAGGATGTTACTCGTCGATTCCCGTCCCCACCACCACCACCACCACTACCTCTATCGTTTAGAGGCAGCAAAGAGGCGGGAAGGGGTACTTCAAAGAGGCAGTGCCGCACAGCTGAGCCAAGGATCTGCTGTGCGACGCTGCCCCTTTAAAACGACAAAGCACCCAGAGTCTGGGGTCAGCTGAGGATCCCGTGCTCCGTGTAGCATTTCCCCACTTCCCAGCTGACCCCGGGTTGTGGGGAAATGCCGTGTGGAACCTGGAGTCAGAGGGAGAGTCCCCAGCTGATCTCAGGCTTCACAGTGCTGCCCATTTGAAATACAAAGCTCCCCCACGCTCCAGCTGACCCTGGGTTCCGGGGAAGTGCCGCTCCAGCTGATCCTGGGTTCCGTGTGGCATGCAGAACAGCTGACCCCAGGCTCCATGGCTTTGAAATGCACAAGAGTCCCCGCTGGGGACTCTTGTACATTTCAAAACAGGCACCCGTGTGCAGCCCGAAGTCAGTAGGGGCTCTTGTACATTTCAAAGGAGGAACGCAGAAGTGCCTATCGACTAGTCAATGGAAATTCCATCGACTACTTGACTAGTCAATTAACTGCAATTTAACATCCTTAGCTTGTAGTGCAGAGCTGTAACAGGGGTTGATGCCGGGTCCTGGCACGAGCCGCGATTGAACCAGCCTGCCTGCGTTGTCAGCTGTCAGTACAGAGACCGTCATCAACCCCTGCTTTGGCTCAGCAGTACAAGTGCAGGGGTAGTTGCTGGACCTGGCAGGAGCAGAGCTATCCCTTATCAATTAATCATGTAATCCACAAAATTTTTGTCGACTATACAATTAATGAATTGCACACTTGTTAACATCCCTATTAGACATAGATATCAACATTACATTTTTCAAAGTTCCACACAGTCAAGTACTCAAACTTGATAACTGTAGTTAAAAAACAAACTGAATGTCAAAATACTGAAGCATCCTTTAAATATCAAGCAGGCTATAGAAGCACAACCTTCCAGAGTGAAATCAAACCAAACTACAGCATTGGTGCTTGTATCACTTCCATAGTAGCTTTGTCTAGGAACTAAAATAATATTCCCAGACTATACAGAAAATCTTGTTAGCAATAGAAAGGTCATATTAAAATTGTCTGACCATTTTACTGTACAGTAAATTCTTAGTGTTTTTTCACACCACTTGTGTTCTATCAGTCTAGCATACCCTTAGATTTATAATGCAATTGACTACTTGAACTCATGATTTTGATTCCTACACAGTCATTCTGTCAACATACAGGCCAGCCTGGTCTTGTCCTTCCAGCAGAGGGAGAATCATAGACTCATAGAATACTAGGACTGGAAGGGACCTCGAGAGGTCATCGAATCCAGTCCCCTGCCCTCATGGCAGGACCAAATACTGTCTAAACCATCCCTGATAGACATTTATCTAACCTACTCTTAAATATCTCCAGAGATGGAGATTCCACAACCTCTGTGGGCAATTGATTCCAGTGTTTGACCACCCTGACAGTTAGGAACTTTTTCCTAATGTCCAACCTAAACCTCCCTTGCTGCAGTTTAAGCCCATTGCTTCTTGTCCTATCCTCAGAGGCCAAGATAAACAAGTGTTCTCCGTCCTCCTTATGACACCCTTTTAGATACCTGAAAACTGCTATCATGTCCCCCCTCAATCTTCTCTTTTCTAAACTAAACAAACCCAATTCTTTCAGCCTTCCTTCACAGGTCATGTTCTCTAGACCTTTAATCATTCTTGTTGCTCTTCTCTGGACCCTCTCCAATTTCTCCACATCTTTCTTGAAATGCGATGCCCAGAACTGGACACAATACTCCAACTGAGGCCTAACCAGCGCAGAGTAGAGCAGAAGAATGACTTCTCGTGTCTTGCTCACAACATACCTGTTAATGCATCCCAGAATCATGTTTGCTTTTTTTGCAACAGCATCACACTGCTGACTCATATTCAGCTTGTGGTCCACTATAACCCCTAGATCCCTTTCTGCCATACTCCTTCCTAGATAGTCGCTTCCCATTCTGTATGTGTGAAACTGATTGTTCCTTCCTAAGTGGAGCACTTTGCATTTGTTTTTATTAAACTTCATCCTGTTTATCTCAGACCATTTCTCCACTTTGTCCAGATCATTTTGAATTATGACCCTATCCTCCAGAGCAGTCACAACTCCTCCCAGCTTGGTATCATCTGCAAACTTAATAAGCATACTTTCTATGCCACTATCTAAATCATTGATGAAGATATTGAACAGAGCCGGTCGCAAAACAGACCCCTGCGGAACCCCACTTGTTATACATCTAGGCATCTAACTTTTCTAGGTGATTTTTAACTTGTTCTTTTTTAATTTTATCTTCTAAACCTACCCCCTTCCCATCAGCATTCACTATGTTAGGTGTTCCTACAGACTTCTCGGTGAAGACCGAAACAAAGAAGTCATTAAGCATCTCTGCCATTTCCAAGTTTCCTGTTACTGTTTCTCCCTCCTGACTGAGCAGTGGGCCTACCCTGTCCTTGGTCTTCCTCTTGCTTCTAATGTATTTATAAAAAGTCTTTTTGTTTTCCTTTATTCCTATAGCTAATTTGAACTCATTTTTGCCTTTGCCTTTCTAATCTTGCCCCTGCATTCCTATGTTATTTGCCTATATTCATGCTTTGTAATTTGTCCTACTTTCCATTTTTTATATGACTCCTTTTTTATTTTTAGATCATGCAAGATCTCATGGTTAAGCCAAGGCGGTCTTTTGCCATATTTTCTATCTTTCTGACACAGTGGAATAGCTTGCTTTTGGGCCCTTAATAATGTCCCTTTGAAAAACTGCCAACTCTCTTCAGTTGTTTTTTCCCTTAGTCTTGCTTCCCATGGGACCTTACCTGCCAGCTCTCTGAGCTTACCAAAATCTGCCTTCCTGAAATCCATTGTCTCTATTTTGCTGTTCTCCCTTCCACCATTCCTTAGAATCATGAACTCTATAAGCTGCCTTCCACTTTCAAATTCTCAACCAGTTCCTCCCTATTTGTTAGGATCAAATCTAGAACAGCTTTCTCCCTGGTAGCTTTTTCATCCTTCTGAAATAAAAAGTTGTCTCCAATGCAGTCCAAGAACTTATTGGATAGTCTGTGTGTTGCTGTGTTATTTTCCCAACATATATCTGGATAGTTGAAGTCCCCCATCACCACCAAATCTTGGGCTTTGGATGATATTGTTAGTTGTTTAAAAAAAGCTTCATCCACTTCTTCCACCTAGGTAGGTGGCCTGTAGTAGACTCCTAGCATGACATCACCCTTGTTTTTAACTCATTTTAGCCTAACCCAGAGACTCTCAACACTTCCGTTTCCTATGTCCATCTCCACCTCACTACAGGGCTGTGTCTAGACTGGCAAGTTTTTCCGCAAAATCATCTGCTTTTGCGGAAAAACTTGCCAGCTGTCTACACTGGCCGCTTGAATTTCCGCAAAAGCACTGACGATCTCATGTAAGATTGTCAGTGCTTTTGCGGAAATACTATGCTGCTCCCATTCAGGCAAAAGTCTTTTTCCGAAAAACTTTTGCGTAAAAGGGCCAGTGTAGACAGCAGAGATTTGTTTTCTGCAGAAAAGCGTCCTGCCAATCTAGATGCAATTTTCCGGAAATGCTTTTAACGGAAAACTTTTCCGTTAAAAGCATTTCCGGAAAATCATGCCAGTGTAGACGTAGCCCAAGTGTGTTCATTTTTAATATATAAGGCAACACCTCCTCCCTTTTTTCCATGTCTATCCTTCCTGAGCAAGCTGTATCCCTCCATCCCAACATTCCAATCATGTGTATTATCCCAAGTTACTGTGATGCCAACAATGTCATAATTGTACTTATTTATTAGCACTTCTAGTTCTTCCTGCTTATTACCCATACTTCTGGCATTTGTATATAGGCATCTAAGATACTGATTTGACCTTGCCTCCCAGTTTTGCCCTGACCCTTCTTTGTCTCTGCCATTATAGCCCACGCTCCCTCCCATTTCCAACACGTCTCCCAGGTCTCCATGTTCTCCATTTACCCGTGGGCTTTGCTCACCTGTCCCCATCGAACCTAGTTTAAAGCCCTCCTTTAGGGCTTTAAAGAGGATGAGAAAATTCAATTGGATTTTCCATATATACAGCATTTTAGGGAGCCAGCAAGTAAAAAGGAGGACTGCCAAGTTTCCCTATTAACAGGAATGACAGAGTGTCTATTGCATGCACAGTGTCAAAGTGATGCACAAGGAAGTGGGCATAAAAACTAAGATGATTTTTAATCTTTATAAACTTAATCTTTTACATGTGATTTTGTATTATTGAATTTTTGGGGTGGAGATAAAAGGATCCATTTTCAATGTGAACCCAGAGTCCAAGTTTTTTATCTGTCTACCCCTATTCTTTGGATATACTTTGTTTTCTCTGTTCCTTTCCCTGCTTTTCAGGATGTCATTTGAAGATTTCATGAGGTACTTCACCAAGCTTGAGATCTGTAACATCACACCTGATACTCTGGAGGCTGATAAGCTCCACACTTGGACTGTTTCAGTCAATGAAGGGCGTTGGGTGAGAGGCTGCTCTGGAGGAGGTTGTCGTAATTATCCAGGTAAATAAAATCTCGTCTAGTAGAATCAAACTCCCTTAGCCAGCAGACATGTCAGATTTCACAGGTTATGCTGAATCATGCAGCAGTTTAATCAGCACTTTTTTTGTCAACAACAAAAATCTAGATTCTGAAAAACATGGTGTTGATTTGGTAGTTGGCACTTTCCTGAGTCTGTACTGAGGTAACACCACAGTATGGTGTTAAGGAACACTTTGCTCCTGCAAGTACCATTTACCAAAAGAGGTGTAAACCCAAAAGGCCCTAACCACGTGTTGTTCAAATATTCCATGGCATGTGTTGTGAGAGAACAGATGTTAACTGCTGGGTGCTTGCCTAATTTTATTGTAGATATTTACAATCTCCCAACTTTAATTTCCACAGGTGATTCAGTGAGATGTAATATTCTTCTTGGCTTCTTGCCCTGAATTGTACACATTTGCAATGTTGCTGTAAAACAACTGTTGCATTTCACATGGGGTAGCTGCATTTCAGTGCTGGCTGAAGTGATCCCTGTGTTATAAAGATGTGGTAGTGTTTCTGAATTAGTGTTGGTTTCAGTTTTACAATGCATCATTTATAAATCAGTAGGGGACTAAAGATACAAAATTTTCTAAATACTATAAATGTAAGGTACTCTGATTTGCCTTGCAGGTTGTTTGTTGGGAAGGGGCAGATGCTCTGGAATAGGGCAGTGCCAATCTTATCTTCATTAGAATGTGAAATGAGCCATGAAGTCAATTCTTTTCTGTGCCAGCAAAGGTTAACACCAGATTTGTCTTTGCATGGAAATGGAGAAAGAACAGAAAAAGTGCACCAGATTCTTCTTTTTTTAGTTCATCTTACTGCAAATCTAGGCTTTCAATCCACAAGTTAAACAAGACACATATTGGAGAGGTGGGAAATCTTGGCAATTAGACTTTGGCATTGTATTCCAAAAAAAAAAAAATCCTAATATAAAGCTATAATGTACTAAGATGAAAAAGACTTGATGACTGGGGTATCTGTAATAATTCCTACTGGAAAGAGGGGTCTTCTTTCAAACAGGTTGGGAAGCCCTGCTGTATGGAATACAGTAGAATGGCTACACAACGTAAACCAAACTCTGCAGCACAAAAATCAGTAACTATATAAAATAAGAATATAAGCTCATATAGGAGTCATATGGTGAGAGTCACTTTTATAGGCCAACATCCATTCTTGCTTTCAGAAATCAACATCTGCACAAGGAATGTGTTTAAATAAACAAAAAACTAAATTTTTTACCTGTCTGACAAGAACTGCAAAACAGGAGTGAAATAGATGATAAACAGAAGATAAAACAGGTTCTGCCTTACCCAGTAAATATCATCTTAAAGATTTGAAGTTATATATTGATTAGGGGTGGGGCCTGGGGTTTTGCAGATACATTTTGGACCAATCCTCAGTATCGCTTGAAGCTCCTGGAAGAGGATGACGATCCTGAAGATAATGAGGTTGTCTGCAGCTTCCTGGTTGCACTGATGCAGAAAAACAGGAGAAAAGAGCGCAAACTCGGAGCCAACCTCCTCACTATTGGCTTCGCCATTTATGAGGTACCATTATTACCAGGTTGCCATTCATTGCACCAGTGCCACACAGTTCATCTGATCCCAAATTGCAGCCCAACAGCACATATCCTCCATGGACAGTAGCTAATTGTATAATGTCACCATAAATTGTAGATTTTGCTTTTAAACACAACACTTTCAAGAATTCCAGCAAGAAGTTTATTTTCACTACTTTAAAAAAATACTATCCCTGTGGTAAGCGGAGAAGCTGCAACAAAATGGAGATATAGAATTGTCTAATATTTACTGGTAGGTCTGTAGCAGGCCTTTCATGGCAAAGACTGGTTTAAACCAAACCAGAAATTGTATCAGTAATGCCTATCAGTAAATGGGGCTAAGCAGTCTGATAGCAATAGTGAAGAAATGAGTGGTAGCTTTTACTATTCAGTGGCTGAAGAGAGAATGTGGCACCTGAAAAAAAACTTTTCTAGGGTGGATGGAATGAAGGGAGTAGGGAAATTCAGGTCTCTCCATTCGTTTAAATACATATTAATTTACAGCTAAGGATTTGCCTTGTGTCACTTTATCTAGATCACCTTTTCCAATCCCCATTACTGACTTCCCCACCTTACTTTTTAGTAGCATCTGGAACTTCTCTTTGGTTAAGGGGTTTGTGCCCATCAAAAGCAAATGCTGCATCACCAGTGGTATTACCCTTTAATGGTGACGAGAATCACTGAAAGGACATGGTGAAATTAAAGTACATGGCCTAATTTTCAAAGGTATTGAACAATTTCATTTCCTGTTGATGCCAACAGGAAATGGTGTTGCTCAGTACCTCCAAAAGCCAGGTTTTAGTGTAAAGCTTGATTTACTTTTTAGGGGACCCAAAAGAGTTTGAAAGGAAGTTCTTTCTAAGTAAAGGACTGAGATTGGTTAAAAATGTTTATGTGATTTGAAGAAGCGTAATTGATGGCAGCATACTTAGAAACTAGAACAAGAATTTTTTAATGTGTTCTTATAAATCTAGATAAAGCAAAGAAATCAACTTTCACTTCATCCCTAACAGTGTCTCTCCTATATTTCTCTCTAAGGTGCCAAAAGAGGTATGAGCTGAATGGAAGAAGAATTGAAACTTGGTGTAAAGTTCTCAGATAACATAAATGTTGTGCCTGTCTACATAAGCCAGTTGGGCTTGTTTTCAGTGTTTTAGCACAAGTGACAGTCTTACCCTTTCTACTTTGAGTATCAATTAGCTACATTGTGAGTTCACATTTTCTCTTTTTATTTCTTGTTTTATATTCGTTTCTTTCCTTTCCCCTTTCCTCAATATTAATCTATTATGTGACATATACCTCCAAGTGCCAGCGGTGTCCCTCTACCATGTATATGACCAAACCGGACAATCTCTGTGCCAAAGGATAAATGGACACAAATCAAACATCAGGAACGGTAACACACTTAAATCTGTTGGGGAACATTTTAACCTGTCTGGACATTCAGTAATGGGTTTAAAGGTAGCCCTTATTCTACAAAATAATTTTGTCACCCAATTACAAAGGGACACAGCTGAAATGGAGTTCATTTACAAGTTCAACACTATCAAATTAGGCTTGAATAAACATCTTAACTAGCTAATGCACTACAAAAGCAATTTCCCTGACTTTGATATTTGCATTTCCACACCAAATGCTATGAATCAGATACATGTAGCCTGACTTAATTAGCTTCATTAACACTGGTCCTACAATTGACAGATAACTACTTGTGCTGTTATATATATCCCACACTGTGTAATTTCCACTCCAATACATCTGATGAAGTGGGTTTTACCCATAAAAGCTCATGACCTAATACATTTGTTAGTTTCTAAGGTGCCACAGGACTGCTCATTGTTTTTAAAGTTACAGACTAACACAGCTACTCCTATGTATGAATCCCACCCATGTCTTTTTCAGTCTGATTCCTATGTAATCTTCAGTATGGAGCTTGCTATAGAGTTCCAGAATTCACTCCTTGCTGCAGAATTATCTTCTGGAATCTAGGGATATGTCTACACTACAGACCTTACAGCAGCACTGCTACATGACTGCAGCTGCACCTCTGTAAGGTCTTCAGCATAGCTGCTTTATGTCGGCAGGAGAGAGCTCTCTCACCGGCATAATTAATCCACCCCACCAACATACAGCTGTTCACAGTGGTGCTTTTGTCAGTGAAAATTATGTCAATTGGGGGATGTAGTATTTTTACACTCCTGACTGACCAAAATTTTGCCATCAAAAGTGCTAATATAGAAAAAGCCTATGCTTTCATTTTAAAAGCTTTATGTTCCCAGTCCTTCTAATTACAAAGGAAATTTGAGCCTAGAACAATTGCACCAAGGGAGGAATGAAATTTCAGGATCCCATTTTGAACCACTCCTGTAAAAAAGACCCCCTAACCCTGTGTCTGAATTACTGACATCCTCAAATCATGGTTGTTAGATTTCAAGTTAGAGACACGGCCATTTACACTGTCTGTATTATTTTCATAGTTAATTACATTAAAAATTGAAGTTTTTATTTATCTGGTGCAGACTTTCCATTTTGCCCACCAGGATGTTACGGATGCTAGGTCGTTTTGCACCTTCCACCATGCCCAACACCAAGGGCAGTGTCTTAATTTTATATTATGTGTAACAATCAGCCTTGTTTTTAACAAATCTCTCTCTCTCTATTTTTCTTGTTAATTGGGCTGTAAAACCTTGGCTCCTCCATTCTAAATCCTATCATGTTTTCATCTATTGACATCCTGGCACTTGCTGATGAGGGAAGAGTCATTCAGCAGTAGATTTTCCTGCTATTCAGCTCGAAGTACAGGCTATATTAGCCTGCAGCCTTGCAGGAATACTGGAAGTAACATTGTTTCAGTGTGCACAACCTTGGAGATAGACGTTTTGCTAGCAGCATTCACACAGAGAAACTGATATCTTACTTGGAGACTGAAAACACCAGGGGTACGTCTAAACTACATGCCTCTGTCGGCAGAGGCATGTAGATTTGTTTGTTCAGCAAAGGCAAATGAAGCCGCAATTTAAATGATCGCGGCTTCATTTACATTTACATGGCTGCCGCGCTGAGCCGACAAACAGCTGATCAGCTGTTTGTCAGCTCGCGCGCTAGTCTGGACGTTCCCCCTGTCGACATCAAAGCCCTTTGTCGGCAGCCCCGGTAAACCTCATTCCACGAGGAATAACGGGGCTGCCGACAAAGGGCTTTGATGTCGACAGGGGGAACGTCCAAACTAGCGCGCGAGCCGACAAACAGCTGATCAGCTGTTTGTCGGCTCAGCGCGGCAGCCATGTAAATGTAAATGAAGCCGCGATCATTTAAATCGCCCTGGAGACAAAAACACTGATCCTGTAAAATAGCCAGACCCTTTTGGATCTGATACTTAAGAATTTAGCAAAAGTTATTGGAAATTCTCACAAATAATGTGAGAATTCTTTTCATTTAAATTAGATTTTATTATTATTAAATTGAATTTAGTGCTGGTAAAAGACCCCCAACTGACAGCTCTGGAAAATGAAATCTTCAATTTACCCAGAGAATATATGCAGCAGTGTCAGTGTGCCAAATACCCTTTCTGGTGGGACAATCTGTAGAGGTTAAAAGGGTAGTTTATTCTCCTGACTTATTCAATCCTAGCCTCTGTGCTGATAATTCCAAGAACGATAACAGTTAATGCCATTTGTTATGTGGATACCTTGTTATGTGGATACGTTCAAGATAACCCACTCATTTCAAGTTGTCCATCCAGCAGCCATCAAATGCTAACAGCTTCCAGTTAGTTGGTGACTTACAGTGAAAGGCTCTATACCTGTTACCAGCACCCTGAGCCATCAAGTCTCCTGTCCCTTGTATTTCTCAGAAAAGTTTTAATTTCATAGGCATTTTCTGCCATGGTCACATGCTATCTATGCTAGTTCTACCTGGGAGCTATGTAAGATCTTGCTGAAGACCAGATGTTTGATTTTTTGTTTACAGATGCATGGTAACAAGCAGCATTTACAAAAGGATTTTTTCCTTTACAATGCCTCCAAAGCTAGAAGTAAGTCATATATAAACATACGAGAAGTCTCCGAACGCTTCCGGCTGCCTCCCAGTGAGTATGTCATCATCCCATCAACATATGAACCTCACCAGGAGGGGGAGTTCATCCTGAGAGTCTTCTCAGAAAAAAGAAACCTTTCAGAGTAAGTTTAAGGGCTATTTGACATAAAAGAAGATGATGATGACTCACATGCCCCTTCCACCACCACCCCTCACAAACATGCATATTCCATTATGTACGCGATTGCACCCTCTCTGTCTCTCTGTGTTCTTCTCTATTTGCGATATGGGCTTCTAGGTCTCTTATGAAAAAGAAGCAGTTTTTTAAGCTTTGGGAGAAGGATAGCTTTTTCCTGTCTGCATTTGAGAGCTGGATCTAACTTTGGCCATGAGAGAAACACTGTGGAATTAAGCAATTATTCTATCATCCATCTCACACTCTCCCAATAAGTTACCCTCCCTAGGTGATCCTATCTTCCTCCACAGATGAGTAAACTTGGTAGCTGGATTCCCTTTGCTCAGAGCTAATTAGCTTGTTTTGTTTTCCCCAGATGACAAAACTCACTTGGCACTGCCCACCTCTGAGCTAGCAGGATGTATGCCAAACAGTGGCACTCTCATAGGCGATATGTGGGTACACAGCTCAGTTTGTTAACAAAGGGCTGTGCCTGGGCTTTGTCACTGAAGAAGGAGAAGCCAGTTTGAACCCTAACTCATGTTCTCTTTTGAAAATTCAAATGGCTGTCTCTAAACCAACTATAGAAACAAACCGGGTAGGAGGATTGCCCTTTTCTTCTTTGCTTCAAACAATTTTTCCTCTTTCTAGGGAAGTTGAAAACAAGATAGAAGTAGAACGTCCTTCTGTAAGTATATTTTGCTTTCAGTTTTTTGCATGCACTGCTTTACTGTCTGATGTCATACAGTCACTACCCCTGGTTCCTGCTATGTGTGAAAGTAGGAAAGAGTTTCATGTCTAAGAAAATAAGAAACAAGAGGACAAAAGCAGGCACCTCTCGTGATCCCCGTAACATCATTCCCATTAACTCTCATTATTTAGCCCCACAGTCATCATGTGGAACTAATTGCCACAGGTTGTTGCAAAGCCTAAAAGTATAACTGAGTTTGAAAAAGAATTAAGTAAGTAAATGGAGAACAGATCCATCAATGGCTTTTTAGCCAAGATGCTCAGGGACACAACGTCATGCGTGGGCGCACCTAAACCTCTGACTGCTAGAAGATGGGACTGGATGAAGGGAGATGGATCAATCAATCATTGCTCTGTTTTTGTTAATTCCCTATGAAGCATCTGTCAGAGAAATAGGATATTGGGCTAGATGGACCATGGGTCTGATACAGTATGGCCGTTCTTATGTTTTATGTATGGTGCCCTTATGATACAGACTACATTATATGATTATGACTTCATGCCAGACCTGAAAGCTACTTTCAGCAATGGAAGATTAGTGTTTTAGGCACTAACCAGCCCTGAAAATTTCACCATTACATCTGCCCTCACCAACTTCATTTTGCAGTGTAACGGAACATACAGTAAAGTCCTTGCAGAAAACCTCTTATCTGTGAATTGAGTGTGCTAGTTTATTGTAGAAAGCCTAAATTGTGCTGTAGGGTATTTAATGTGAAAGAGATTTCTCATCTGTTAAAGTCAGAATGATGTTTCTTTGTGTCACCTTTTTAATAGGTGTGTGATGATAAGTACCAGTATTCTGCAAATGTATCCAAAAGGTAGCAATGATTTTAATGAATATCAATTACATCTACGAACTAATAACTCTTTTATTTGGGCTATCTGCAATATATTCAGAAGGGGGCAGAAAGGGACTGAGAGAATAAAATGGAAGGAATGATGGGTACTCTGTCCAACTCGGAACATAATTTTATTGACCCTTGCCCACTGTCACCCTTTCATTTGCTGTAACATTAAACGAACTCTTTAAAGATTAAAATACACTTAACATCTTGATGTTGGTTTGCGGACATGGATGTATCAATCTCCAGTAACCTGCTTGCTGTAATAAGTGGAACATTCAGAGCTGAGGTGGAAGTTTCTCAATTCAGGCAGGGCAGCGCGGTGGATAAACCTACTGAACTGATCTGGTATAGCAAGCCCAGCCTTCCTATATTTTACTCCACAGAGCTCTAATGTGAGTGATGGATGAATGTAGCTAAATGGACAGAATAAATGAGAGAGAGCAAGAATGACATTGCCTATCTAACTTTACAAAATTTGTATTAAATCTACAACTACATCTACTAATAACACTTTTTTTTTTGGTCCAGAAAAAGAAAAAAGACAAGGTGGGTCTCTGCTTCAATAGAGCTGAAAAATGTTGGGCTGAGTAGGGTAACAGGCATGCAGTTATTGTGAGGTAGTGTTGCTGTAATGAGTGCTCCTTTTAAATGCCTGATGGTATTACAGAGGCTTGGACTTTTTTCCAGTGTCAGAGTGAGTTATCTGCATGTGGGAGCTTTGCAGGATAGCGTACTCAGCTCACACTCTGAAACCTTCCATCCCTTTAGGCCTGATCCTCTTGCTGATCATTGTTTTCAGTGTCAACTGAAGGTATATGCAGCAGCACATGGAATGGAGTCTTGTTTCTGACCTGTTACTCCACCACTCCACAGACCCTCTCCTTCACTTCCAGCTCCAGGTCCTAAAACAACACATCCCTGTTCCAGACAAATGTCTTTCCACTGTCCAATGCTGCCACTCCTCCTGCCACAAATTCCTGCTCCCCAAGCTCCCACCAACTAACCCAGTTGCAATCCCTTCTCCAGTAAACCACCATCCTGCCCATCCCTTATAACACACTTAGTAGCCTCCACCTTGAAATAAGGTAGTACTATGAGGATTGTGCCATTTTTCAGTTTGGGGGATGCAAACATAACCCACTTGAAACAAGTTATAAGGATTAATTCAGTAAACTACTGTTTGGACTGTTATTTCCAAATTACCATTTATGCTTGTAGTCAATAAAACATTCAGAGTCAGGTGAGCACATAACAATACATGGCATGTCTGGCAACAGTAGAGCAATCTTTTCTGTCTTTGAAAACATTAATGAAAAGAAAGCAGTTGTATTCTGTGCTTGAATGCCTCACAAATCAGTATTGGGAAAGAATCCTAAACATGCACTTTACACGTAAAAAAGTTACTCTACTAAAAACACAGCTCATTTTCTGCATGGCAGACAGTTATTGTGCGACAGGTAGCCTTCACTGCTATTGTGGTGTTAGCACCTTTCTGTGCGAGGGCTGTTACAGTACAATAAGAATCTGGATGGCATCCTTTTTACTCCTAAAACAAGGGAATGTTTATGTATAAATGGCTTTTCTGTACAAAAAATGCCTATTTTTTCACAAGGAGTATTAAGAGCATGAGTATCACTTTTTAGCATGATGAGATGGTAGCTTCAGAGCCACCTTTTATGCACTCTTTGCAGTTACTACACTTGGTGCCTGGCCCCTTCTGAGGGAAGCTGTTGCTGCATGAGCATGGTCACAGAATGGATTTTCTCAAATACTTTGCCCACCTCTATTATGTAACTTCCACTCCTCTTTTCCTTTTTCCTTCTTCCTCCTCTCTCTAGCCAATCATCTTTGTTTCTGACAGAGCAAACAGCAATAAGGAGTTGAAAGTTGATGACATATCTGACAAGGAGAAGAAAAAAACAAGCAGAGATGAGAAAAAGAAAAGCAATGAGGTTTCTGTACTAGTTGGCATGAAGAAAATGGGGCTCGGTCTGGCTAGCATGGGAAAGTGGCTGGATGGGGGCAAGAAAACTGAGAATTATGAGATGAGAGAAGCTCTTTTTAAAGCTGATACGATTTGATAAGATGTTAATTTTGTCTGATTTGGAAATTTCAGAGAGATGAGGTAATATCTTTTGTTGGACTTTCTGTTGTGAGAGAAAGTTGGTCCAATGAAAGATATAACCTCATCTATCTTGTCTCTCTAATAGCCTGGGACTGGCATGACTACAGCTACACTGCATTCGAACTCTCACTCAAGTAGATGTGGACATACTGTATTTGAGAGGGATGACATCATCCCTTCAATTATTATATGCCTATGTTGGAGATTAGCTTGATCATAAACATCTTTTGTGATGATCTAGACCAACGGTAGTCAACTACTTTTTGGCAAGATCCAAATTTCGTGGTCAAGATATAGTCAAGGTCCAGACTCTAAGTAAACATTTTTCATACTGAAATAATAATAACAAATAATAATAATAAATAAGTAAATACAAGAATTTAATGCTCCTTTAGAAGTGTTTGGTGGTCTGGATTTGGCTTGCAGTCTACCTATTTATTGCCCCGATCTAGACTTCAAATGGTAACATTTTTACTATTAGGAAAGTAATTCAATCAATTCCTGATCCATCACCCTATAACTGCACCTATTGTACAGGCAGTGTATAGAAAAACAACTCATGTAAATTTTAAGAGATTCTTGTTGATTACCAAGCCCTCTCTACATTACAATTTCTACTGTGATTGTATCAATATTGTATTTATAATACAGTAGTGCTCTAACTCCATTATATATTATACAGAAGGGATAAGATTGTGTTATAATCATGGTAGAGCCCTGTAAAGACCTGAATTTTCTCTAATATGATTTATATGTAGTGTGTGCTAGCAGGGTCTGAACAGAATTGCCACTAGCAAGGTCTGAGTACCATTTACCTGCTTACTATGTTGCAGAATTATTTTCCTGAAAAGTATGCTACCCAAACTATTCTCTGGCATGGTTTTATAATCTTTTACAATCTTTTCCACAATGGTCACAAAAACAGGCTAGAATGTTGCTAATAATAACCATGTTTAAATAGTTATTGCGAGGAGAATTCCAGCCATAGGCTCTAGCTCCTGTCTGCACCGTAACAACGACTGTGATGGTGGGAACCCAGTTACAATACAGTTTTCTTCTGATATATGAAGTTGCATTATAGAATTAAAAACACTGTTTTAAACTACAACTCCAAAACAGACTGTACAGGTTCCAATACAGTTCAGTAATATAATACAATGCAGTTTAGTTCTAGCTATCCCACAGGACCACACCATCTGATTGCAAAGTTGGGAGGGATTACCAATGTGCAGTCAGGTCACCCAAGGCTGTAGTTTTTCCAGAATGATTGGGTTCTAAATTGGGCTAATTCTAAGAATAAACTGAGGATAAATATTTATTAAAAAGTTCAAAGAAATTTCAAAATAAAATTTATATTTTCCCCTCTTTTTCCCTTTCCAGCTCTAATGTATTAGCGGCATCAATAGAAAATTCTGTCAACTGTTCTCCTTTGTAGTTTCATTACTTCCAACACAATAGGTTCCTCTGCAATTTACTTTCATAATTAGAAGAAAGTCTTGTTTGCATTCTCATAGGCCTTGTCAAACTAATAACCAGAAATCCAAGAAAGGTTGAAGCGAGAGAAGACTTGGGTTGTGCTTATAACTTTCCACTGGACAGATGAAGCATATGGATTCTACGATAGGATTTTATGTACTGAAAAAGTGAATTTCACCAAGACTGTACTGGGGATAGATGGGAAAAGATTGAATAGAACCAGTTATACATATATTTCCTTTTCCTTTCTTGGACTGTTAGAGTGTGTCTACGCTGCACTCGTAGCTTGAAATAAGCTACGCAATTTCGTCTGAGTCAATTTTGAAATGGCTTGTTTCGAAATGTGGCGCTGTCCACATAGCACTTATTTCAAAATAAATCGCTACTCCAAAGCGCTTTTTCCAGAAATACTTAAAACGGAAAACTGTTCTGTTTTAAGCATTTCTGGAAAAGGGTGCCAGTGTAGACGTAGCCCTAGAGAATTACTCTAATTTCAGTCTCCATAAAGTGTTAGAAAAGCACATATGCATGGATGCTCAAGTACTGAACCAAAGTTAGGGTTTGTTCAAAGTCAGGATTTTGGTTTCTCTACATGAAAAAGGTGGCTGTTTTGCTGTGGGTTTGTCAGGGAATGCCTGTGGTTGACTAGTAGCCAACTGATATCTTTCTTTTGTTTTTAACACAAGTAGAACAGGAAACTCTTGTTTTAATTTGCTATATAATTAGCATAACTCAAGAGCAGACAAAATTATATCTAAAATGTGGGGCTTCCTTTTTAAGGACATTTGAGTAATTTGCTCTTGGTAATGCTCAGACTTGTTTGTATGTGAAGGAAAAAAAAAGGAGTTCTACCTCATGGGATATTCTGCCTTGTGGAAAAGGCTGCTGCAGGAGGAAATCTACAATCTATGCATTACATTGCTGTGAACCATCTTTGCAATTCCTCTAGCCAGTAGATAGGTAAAGGGGCATTTTCATTACCAGAACTTAACAGAGCAAATTGCATTCCACCCAAGAGAAGATCTCCTCCAACATGCACACTCCAAATCAGAGACCATTTGTGCCTGTTGATTGTAGAGAGGCAGCCAGCTTTAGCAGTTGTTACTGAGCGTGCTCAGTACAATCCATACAAAGATAGGGGTCAGGGATCTATGTTGCCTCTGCTCTACACACCTCCTTTATATGAGGCAAAATAAAATATTTGAAAGTAAACATAAAGGAGTGAGAGTAATTGCTTAAAGGGATAATCAAGAATAATGGGATGAAGTTAAGCTAGTAAACTTGCATGATGGTTATTAGGAGACATTTTTAAACATTTTGAAATGCACTAGTCATTAGAAAAAAATTGTAATAGCCCTCTTAAGCCATGGAATGGCCTCCTGAAGGGAAGGCCTGTCTCTTGCTATGCTTCAAACCAGACTGGGCAAAGCACTATAAAATAAGCTGTAGAAAGAATCAACTTGGCCCAGGTGAATGGATTGAATGACTGGTAGATATTTATCTGTAATGTATATGGTACTAGCACACCTTTCTTTGGAAGACCTTATAGTCCAGTCAGCTCTGCAAAGGCTACCAGGGAAATGGAACAAGCACCACAGCAGTTCCTTGCTGTAGGGCATTCTGTTCTCCAGAGCAGTTCCTAAAGGAACGAAACTGAAACAGAAAAAGTTCTGTTCTGTTGGTGGAGGGAAAAGGGAGTTGAAATGTCATTCCAAATTCATTAAAAGTTTCCTCAAGTAAGTGCTCACTCCAGCCCCCAGATCCCCTTCTCTTTCTCAAGGGACCTTACGCCTGCCCTTCATCCTTTACATTTGTGTCTTTGCAGCCCACTCCAACGAAATCTGACAAGGACAGTGAAGAAGAGGAGCAGTTCAGGAATATATTCCAGCAGATTGCTGGAGATGTGAGTACACAAACAGTCCAAGTCTCTACCTCTCACAATAGACTAACCTCAACTGTGGAAACAACAGTCCTGCAGATTCGAAACACACTTGAAACTCCAGATCTCCAGCAAGGTTCAAGCCAATTCAAAGCAAATCACAGTATAGTAATGCACTGAAGCCCTGAGGCCTAAGTGTAACGTGGGAACCATATCTTGGCAGTGTTTAGGCTTTTTGCCAAGTAAGAAGGGGCTTTATTTAAAGAGGGCTTTGTGCTTCATTGCTACTTCTTGGAGTTTCTTGATGCACTTTACTTAACACGTATAAGCAGGTAACAAATACAATATTTTCACTGGGTGCTTAATTGTGGAAATTAAAAATAGAAAATGGTCAAACAACTGCAGTGCTTGGCAGTCTATAATAGGATAGAAAACCTTTCATCTTTAACTGATTGGTTCAGATTTGACCCAAGTTGTTCTTGAGATGAACTTACAACTGTTTAACTCTAATGACTGTTCAATAGCCAGTATGAAATGAGATGGTGGGTTAAAGGTAGTTCCCAGAGGACAAGACCATTTCATTGGCTCTGTTTGGTTCTGAATCTCAGCAATGAGGTGACAGTTTGAATGAGCACAAAATAAACCACACCCTCTTTTACCCCTACAGACGGGTTGTCTAGAGCAGGGTTATAAAAATAAGCCCTACTGCCACTTCTGATTCTGCATCTGTTCTGTAGCTAAGCAATCAGTCTCTGCAATTCACCAGAATGAAACTGACTTTAAACGTTCAGAAAAATGAAATGATATATTTCTACCTGAAAGAAAAATAATCCTAAAAAGGCAGAAGTTCTAGAACTTACAGGGGAAGAGGAGTAATTGTAAATATTTTTTTCACTAAATGTTTCATTTTCATTCCTATAGTACTGTTTTTTTAAATAGAGTCAAATGATGACAAAACAGAAAATTAGGAGGGAAAAAACAGACTACATCTGTGTGCATGTACACACAGCCTATCCCAGCATTAAGGCATCTGCCCTATATTTTACGAGGTTTGAACTCACTATGACTCAAGGCTAGAGCAGTTTTAGACAACATGACCCCAGTCTAAACTAGCTGGCAAAGCATCTTTCCAGCAAATCACATTAAAACAGTTCTTGCTGGAAGGATGTCAGTTGTTTCTCTGGCCAGTTATTGGCCTTGATGTTTTTTTTCGTACAGTGATTTACACCAGTGTTACACAATGTTATTGGCCTTGATGTTTTTTTCGTACAGTGATTTACACCAGTGTAGTGCCACTGACTTCCATAAAGTTACTTTTTATTTTAGACTTGTAAAAGTAAAGTGACAATCAGGCCCAATGAATTGTTTTTCTCTTTGTTTCCCTGTTCATTAATAGCTCTGATGTAGGAGGATCCTTTAAGTTGTCCTTTAATCTTTTAATCTTCCAATGGCCAGCTACCCCAGCTTTATTATTATTAACATTTTACTAATAATGTGGCCAATAATCCAGAAAAGGATTTGGGCTAGTATTTGTACTTTGGGTAAATCTACACTTCTTTCTCTGCTGCCAGGGTATTGCAGCATCTAAAATCACCAAGAAAGAAAAAAACTTAGAAACTTTAGAAAACCATGCCTGCAACCCTTTCTGCTCTGTACTGACTATTATAATTTGTGGCATTCTCTGCACCTTTCGATCCAGGACATGGAGATCAGTGCTGATGAACTCAGAAGTGTTCTGAATAATGTTCTGAAAAAACGTGAGTTTGAGATTTTTTCTACCTCAGTTTTTTAATATTTTTGAGCAAGGAGCTCTATACCCTGACATTGCCTGGAGTGTCATCTTCATACTGATTTCCCATTTTAATGTCAGTTAAGGGTTATGGTTTAAGAATTTCCTAGCATCATTGTAATAAAGTTTCCAGCTGGGCCTCCAGCAGACTGAACTTTCCATTTAGTCTAGAACTGAGTTCTCACAATGGTACTGTGTTACTTAGTTCACTCAAACCACTGTGTGGGGTCAGCTAGCCCAGCATTTCTCAAATGTGGCCACTAGGACTTTTCTTTCCTGGCCTGTGATGGGGAGGGGCAAAGCAACAGCTCCCTTCCCTAGGCCTGCCAGCAGTGGCTGGGTCATACCCATCTCTGGAGACACAAAACCCGGAGGAGCAGACAATCGGTGAGTTCCCCACCTTCCCAGAGTCAGTAGGATCAGGCTTCAATCCGTCAGTGGTGGGTGGCGGGATTCATGCTCTGTTCCCCAGCCATACAATGACAGGACCACCTCCTGCCCTCCCAAAGTGCTACTGCTTCCATATCTACCTACCCCTCCAGGGCTTAATTTGTCCCCAGGTTTGCCAGGGCTGAGTAAGCTTGTTGTGAAAAGTGATATTTCTATGTTACAATTATTGGGACATGTATAGGTAGCTAAAGTTATGTAAGTATTTAAGGAAAAATCTTCAGAGTGGCCACAAGCAAAAACTGGTGGCCACACTCTGCAGCCATTATAAAATTTGTTGTGAGGACCTCTGAAGCCTATATACAGTCAAGAAATTTCAGCTCTAATTTGGAACAGTAATAGCCCTGAGTACCTGTCAATTTCTCTCACGCATATTTCTTCAAGAGTGTGGGAGGTGGTTTATGCCTTGAATGAAGACACAGCAGATAGAAGGAGGTACGTGCTGACCTGTACAATTTTTTCATTTGGGGTCATTCCTTTCAGACAAAGACCTGAAGACAGAAGGGTTTGCACTGGAGTCCTGCCGCAGCATGATTGCCTTAATGGATGTATCCTTCTCAAATCATAGATGATTATTTGATATGCTAGGTTTCTTGCACTACTTGCTGCAGAAGCACCTCCAATACAGCTTTGTTAATTATGGAAGCAGAATAATATTTATGGTCAGAATAATACTATTCTGTACGTTCCTGCTCTCTGACAGTGGCCAGTACAACTTGCTTCAGTTAAAAGCAGAACAAACTCCAGAGTGGACAATTATGGAATAACTGCATCATTACGGGCATTTCTTCCGACTCTTCCTAGCATTTCAGTTAGTTAGCTTTTGTCCTGAAGCATATAGACATTTTCTTCAAAAATCATATCTAATGTAGCTATTGTTTACAGAGCAAAATTTCACTATTTCTCTGTTATTTTTAATTTGGAATAAATTAAGTACATTTTACTGTGTGCTTTTTATATAAAAGTTTTTTAAAGTCTCAGAGCATGCACTATAATATACAGTACCATAAGATGACACAATCATTTTAGGTAGAAAAATTGTATAATGTAATGAATCTGATATATAAGATGTGACCAAGTAATTGAAGAAGGTTGCAATGCACACACTTAAGAGAACAAAGTGAAATTTGCCAATGTAACCTGAGTGCATAGAGCAGGGGTTCTCAACCTTTTTCGGTCCCCCTACCTCCTTGGCTTTTAGTAAACCTTCCCGTACCCCCTATTCAATATGAAAGGAAATAAATTCTAGATTCTAGAATCCACAACTTTTTTCACTGACACTACTACTTGTGGAATATTTCAATTAGGATAATCTAGTTATTTACCAAATATTCCCCATACCCACTTGACAAGCTTCTCGTACCCCCTGAGGGTACGCGTAGCCCAGGTTGGGAACCCCTGGCATAGAGTGTTGTATAGAATTTCTTAGGTTGCTTTTGTGGATTTTTTTTTTAAGAGAGAACAAACAGAAGGAGCTTTATTCTTCAGGATGAAATTTAGCTGACAAATTCAAAACGGATGTAAATTTCCACATTTACATTTAAAATATCTCCAAGAAGGAGCTCCTTTCCTACCAACTGCAGGAGCTCTGTGCCTAGTGACAGTGCTTAATGAGCATGGAATTAAATGCAGTTCAGCATAAACCAAAGTATTCATAAAGTACTTTTCAGCATTGTTTACACGCTTATAATAATAAGGGAAATCCTGAATAGGATTTTATATCTTCTTGAAGTGGACTATGGTCTGAGTCTTGATAATTTTCCCTTAAAACTTTTTTTTACCTGAACTCTCACATCACAGACAGATGGTTCAGGGAAGATAAATTTCCAAGAGTTTCAACATCTCTGGAATAAGCTGAAAAGCTGGCAGGTATTCAGAGCTTCTTATACTTTTCTTACTCTATACTTCTTCCGTACAGGTGATGTTCACATAACTATCTCACCAAAACAGTTTTCTTTCTGAATCCCACAAAATATCTACTCAATTATAATACAGTGTTCTCAACTTTCCAGACTGCAGTTCCACTTTCAGGAGTCTGATTTGTCTTGCAGACACCGAGTTTCATGTCACTTAAAAACTACTTGCTTAGAAATTAGACACAAAAATATAAAACTCACAGCAAATTATTATTGAAAAATTGCTCCCTTTCTCATTTGTATTATATAATTGTAAAATAAATTGGTTGGAATATAAAAAATTTACTTACATTTCCAAGTATAGTGCTTTTTATATAGCCTGTTATAAAACTAGGTGAACATCTAGATGAGTTTATGTACCCTGTGGAAGACCTCTGAGTATCCCCAGTATGTGTATGCCTGGTTGAGAACCACTGGTATAATAAACAAAAGTGCAATACCAATCATTAAAAAGAATGTGATCATCCCCAACGCTGTATACAATCTGGCAAAACAAGAATACACAGAAATCAAATGGTCCCAAACAGTACCCAACCCACCAATTAAAGGGCTTTTTTTTTTCTAAATATAGAGGTAGGGAAAAGAAACAAAGGGAAAAGACTGTGGTTACACCTCAAAAGTATCATGGATAGAAAATGCAAAAGAGATGGATATTTAATTATAATTAAGGCTAAGATTTAGTCATGGGTATTTTTAGTAAAAGTCATGGACATGTTATAGGTAAAGAACAAAAATTCATAGCCTGTGTCCTGCTGTTCACGACTTGTACTATAAATACCCCTAATTAAATTTTAGGTGCTCTGAGGGACTCCGGCGCCCTGCCGCTGCTCCCAAGAGCGGCAGCCTAGAGTCCTGCCAGTGCACAGGTGCTAGCAGGATGGGGGAGGGATGTGACCGGTTAACCAGCAGCCCGGCATGGCTGGATCAGCCCCCTCCCCACCTGTGTTGCAGTGCAGTGGGCCCAGCCCAGCTGGTGGTGCAGGCAGCCCGCACTGGCCTGAGCAGCACGCCTAACCATAGCAGGCTCGGCCCAGCCTGGCGGGAGCAGCCTGCGGTGTGGCGGACCCAACTGGGCTGGAGCAACAGTGGGCTCTGCCCAGCCTGGCTGGAGTAGGCCATGGTGCAGCGCACACAGTCGGGCTGGAGCAGCCTCCTATCCGCAGGATCCTGGTTAACCAGTTAAATGTTACGTTTAACTGGTTAACTGATTAAACAGGATTTTACATCCCCACTGAAAGGTGAGGGAGGCAACAGTCAGTGCGGCTGGCCCCAGGACCACTCCAGCACCTGGCCCCAGGCCACCGTCGCCCCCAACTGTTCAGCTGGGCCCTGGGATCAATACACCAACAGCTGCAGAACTATAGAGGTTCGAGAAAGCCAGAAACTGTGATTGCCATGACCTCCTTACAGTGAAGGTGTGATTATGTCATGGAAGTCAGTCTGGGACTTCCAGAGGATTCCATGACATTTTCTGTTTCAGTCCTAGGGCTGCAGGGCTGGAGCAGTCAGCCAGGAAGGACCCCAGAGCTCAACACTACTTCAGGCAGGCTTTGAAATGACTCACACTGAGACTTTGGAATGACAGCCTGATTTAAATAGAGAAAGGGTCTTTTAATCAGGACATTGGGATTATTTCCAACTTCTTTCAGTAAATGGCCCAGGATCTTCAGTTTCTCACTGGACAGTCAACAGACATAGGAAAGAAAACCTGTGGTACATCTCATCTGAAGGATAGCCACTACAGTAGTGCAGCACCACTTGCAACTGCACTGCAGAATCACCATTCTTTACATGTACTTGCCTCAATGTGTGTGGGAGGGAAACACACAATTTTCATAGACAGTCATCATTCTTCAACTAGCCACTGCTACTCTGTATGGAATTTGTCTAGTCTTTGAAATCCAGATACTAAAGAGTGAGGTTGAAAATCTTAGCTGCTTCCCCTAGCAGCATCATGGTTTTATTGAAAATCTTAGCCCTACTCAGTGGCCCTGCTTCCCCTAGCAGCATCATGGTTTTTATACAAAATGACCAAACTTTATTCCTGAGATTTACTTTTTCTTTTCCAGAAAATTTTCAAGCATTATGACACAGATCATTCTGGCACCATTAACAGTTATGAGATGCGTAATGCAGTCAAAGATGCAGGTATGGCATAGTAGTCAGTGCCCTGTATTTCTGGACAGAGGGTTCATCTAAATCAGTGGTCTCCAACCTTTTTAAGCACAAGATCACTTTTTTATTTTAAATGCAACTCAAACACTACCTCAAGCCCCAATACCCTTTCCCTGCCTCCTTCATACCTCTTCTCCGAGGCCCTGCTCCTGCTCACTCCATCCTCCCTCCCTTTCACCAGGCAAGGCCCGGGGGTTGGGGTGCAGGCTCTGGAGGGCTAAGGGATTTGGAATGTGAAAGGATCTCTGAGCTGAGCCTGGGGCAGGGAGTTGAGGTGCAGGGGGGGATTCGGGGTACAGGCTCTGTAAGAGAGTTTGGATCCAGGGGTCTCAGGGCTAGGACAGAGACTTGGAGTGTAGGAGGGGGTTCATGACTGGGGTAGGGGTTCAGAGCTGGGTCCAGCTGGACACTGCTTACCTCGGGTGTCTCCTGAGTGGTGGTGCACTGGGGCTAAGGCAGGCTCACCCCTGCCCCTGCCAACTCTCAAAAGCAGCCAGCAAACTCCCTATTATGCCCCCACTCTGTTTTTTGAAGATACAGGGTGAGAGAGGGAGCACCCTGGCATCAGCATCCCCTCCTCTTCCTTCCCTGTCCTGAACAGCAAGCAGAAGGCTCCTGGGGCATAGGAGGGAGGCAGCTCCAAGGCAAAGGGCAGGAGGTGCATAGCAGTGAGAGGAGGGACAGCTGAAGTGCTGTGCTTGGTAGCCTTTAGGCCAACCAGTCAGGATCACCTGTCAGAGGCTCCAAGATCTACCAGTAGATCCCAAGCTACTGGTTGGTGACCACAGATCTAAATCCACTCTGTCACTCTCCTCTTGTTCCTACCCTTCCTGTACCCATGCAGTAAAAATCAGAAGTGCACTGCAGCCTTTTAAAGGAATACTCTTTAGACAAACCTGGATACTGGGCTGTTGCTCTAGACAAATTTTCACATGTCCACACTGCAAGCAAAACACTTTGTGTTTTGAAGATTGAACCTTCCTTAAGGAGCTTTACAGACATTCAACAATCTCCCAGGACAGCTATCAACTTTTGTGCAGCTCCGTGTGTGGCATTTAGTGGGAAGTTACTTGTTTTTCCCCAGGGAGCCTGCTAATTAGGGCAGGAGGTGTGCGGGAGGCAGGGGCCTGTTCCCAGCACACTTTGCCAGCGGGGGGGAAAGGAGGCAAGAAGTAGCAGTGGGCATTTCTGAGCCAATGTAGGGTCGTTCCTGGGCCGCTGACCGAGTGAACCTGGAGTAGCCAGGGAGGTTTGTCATGGGTGGGATGGGGCAGCTGCCCTTATTCAGTCTCTCCCCATTACTGCCTCATTTTGTCCTCTTCACCCCATCCCCACATTCTGTCCTCTTATCCTCTCTGTCCCCCTCCTCCCTTCACATGCCTACCTGCTCCTGCTGTTATTGTTGCCGGTCTCTTCCCCCTTCTCTCAGGGCCTGGGCTGGGGGTTCCCTCCTGGCTGGCCAAGACACTGACAGACTAGAGAGGTCACCTAGCTGTTTCTAGCCACAGTGGCCCCTGGTGACAAGGAGGAACTATAGTCGCTCTCTGCCTACAGCTCACTCACAGCCCAGCTGAGCACAGGAGGTAGGTGGAACAGGGTGGCATTTGGTAGCCCTGCCCCTGTGAGGTAGGGAAATGTTAGTGGGGAACTCAGCATTTCTCGTCTGCTTTATATCAAGTGAGGAGATTGTCTGCCCATTAGCCTTTTGCTGCACTTATCAATGCTGCCTGGCCTTAGTAAGTAAAGCCTGGTCACTCCTGTAACCAGTGCTTTTTTTGAGATGGTACTGCCCGGCACACAGTACCAGCACTTCTGTCAGAGCTCAACAACTTTTCCCCTGGAGTACCGGCAACTTTTTTTTTTTTATTTAACAAAAATACACTGCCTGTAACCCACACCCACTCAGTGTGCTCTCTGTCCTGCTTAGTGGGGTCTGGGTCACAGAAAAGTGAGCTGGTTGCAAGCACAACTAAGAAATCTGGCTCATTTAGCTCAGGCAGTTGAGGGCTCATGTTTGGAGGGCAGGTTTGCAGACATTTTGGTGGTATACAGAATGCCAGCACCCACACCACTCACCCACTGAAGCTCCCTTCCCTCTGCATCCGCCTAAAGCTCTGGGAGGGAGTGTGGGTGCTGGGTGCAGGCTCTGGGCTGGGGCAGGGGATTGGGGTGCTGGATGAGGTGAGGGGTGCAGGCTCTGGGAGGGAGTTTGGGTGCAGGAAGGGATGAGAGACCCTGAGTGGGGGAGAGGGTCTAGGCGGCAGGCTCTAGAATGGAGTCTAGATGCTGGGTGCAGACTCTGGGCTGGGGTGGTGTGACAGTGTAGGATGGGATGAGGGGTGCAAGCCTTAGAAGGGAGTTTGGAGGCTGGAGAGGGATTGGGGGAAGGAAAGGGTAGGGGTACATGCTCTGGGAGTGAATGCAGAGGGTGACTTGTGTGGCACTTACATGGGACACCCCCTCTCACAGTCTCTTGGGCCTGGGGGGAGGATAGGGAGTCTCCCTGCGCTGCTGCCTACTGGCACCACCCCTGTAGCTCCCATTGGCTGCAGGGGTGCACGGGGCAAGGAAGCATGTGATCAGATAGCTCCACCTCCAGATCCGCACGGACATGCTGGCAGCCGTGTGTGGAGCCAGAGTGCACTGGAAGCCACGTTAGCCCTGTTCTGCTGCCCGTGATGGCAGAGGGGGCACCTGAGCCATTTGAACTTGCTCGGGGCAGTGTTCCCTCTAATTTTGTCTATCTACATACAGAATAAATATTAGGTACACTGAGACATGTGCACCACTAGTAGAAACACATGTTGCTGGCTGTGGGTGCTCTGATAATCATCTGGGTGGCATTTGAATCTCGCCTGGGTGGCTGCCCAAGCATTTAGCCTATAGGGAACACTGCTTGGGGGCAGCAGGTGGGCCGTGGAGAGACCCAGGGGGGAATGTGTGCAGGTACAGATGGGGCCAGGGGAGAGACGCAGCCCCAAACTATGCTGAATTCAGCCCTGGCCATGTACCCCCATCTCAAAACCCTCACCCCCTCCTGAACCCAAACCTTCTGCCCCAGCCCTGAACTCCCTCTTTCACCCAAACTGCTCCCACAGAGTCTGCACCTTGCACCTTCTTCTACACCCCAAACTGCTGATCCATCCCAGATCCCCCTTTTGCATCCCTCATTTATGGACCAGAGCCCACGCTCCTAGCCAGCGTCTTCATGCTCCTCCCATGCTCCTATCCAAACCTGGAGCCCCTGCCCACAGCCAGATCCCCTCATTGCTTGCTCTGTCAGAGCCTGTAGCCCCTCTCTGACATCCCAGCACTCTGCCACTGTACAGTTTTATTTGTTCTAACACCTATTTTCCTCACCGATCCAAGTCTGAGTTTGTGTTACTCCAGCCCAGATCCAAAACTCTTTCGGGGCAAGGACCTTTTGTTCATAGCTATAAGTGGATGTAATAAGCACACTTTTAGCCACTGTAAAACTGTAATTTCAAAATGTTTCCTTTCAAGAGTAAGGTGACACGACAAAGCTTCCTGCACTTCTATTTTTCTCATGTCACTCAGCCTGGGTCTTTGGTGTATGGTTAGGCCCAGGAAATGATGACTACATGCCAAACTTTTGCTGAGGGGCAGTCTGGTACCAGAACTGTGCCAAGAGCTACTGCACAGCTGTCTTCTGTTTCTCTTCCTTCCCAGGATTCTCCCTGAACAAACAGCTCTATGACATCATTACAATGCGCTATGCTGACAAAAACATGAACATTGAGTTTGACAGCTTTATCTGCTGCTTTGTGCGACTGGAAGGAATGTTCAGTAAGTGGCTGTCCAATTTTTACTGCGCTTCTTCTTGTGCTAGTCCTCTGTCACACAGGAGCACCTGGTTAGAGCCCTGCAAATCTGCCAGCGACTCATTTTTGAGGATGTTGATATCAATATGCAGGGCTCTACACATGGTCAATCCCAAGCAAAAACTGCTCTAAAGCACCACTGAAAGGTTGTGTCTAGACTGCATCCCTTTTCTGTAAAAGGGATGCAAATTAGACACATCGCAATTGCAAATGAAGCGGGGATTTAAATCCCCCCGCTTCATTTGCATAAACATGGCTGCTGCTTTTTTCCGGCTCGGAGCTTTGCCGGAAAAAAGCGCCAGTCTAGACGCGGATCTTTCGGAAAATAAAGCCTTTTCCGAAAGATCCGTTATTCCTCTTAAAATAAGGAATAGACACAGCCAAAAAGTTTAATAGTAGTGATCAGTATGAAAATTAGCTATCATTTCCATAATGAACTTCATCTGTTCTGTAGTACTTTGCCCTAGTTTAAGCTACGAGACTCATACTCTGTAAGCTCTTTCATAGCAGGGACGGTTTTACATTACTAGAACACTAATGAATATAAGATATTCCATAAATAAGGCTGCCACTGACCGGTATTTGGTAGCTACAACTAGAGTGAAATGCAGCTGCTTTAATATCATTAGTCATAGGGAGCGGAGTTTTTCAGCACCTGCACTTTTCTTTCTTTCCAGATGTGTATATTATTTGGGTACAGTCTTCCTCTCAATCCCATGTATCCTTGCTCCTACCTAACTGGCTGTGTATAAATCCAGCTACTAAAGACAAGAGGATCCTCATCTATGAATGTTGTTTTCCTCACTGTTCCGACACTTTGAATCTGTTGTCAAGTTGATATATTATCTCCATTTTTCATCTGAAGGATGTGATTATGGAGTTATATGTGAGGTGGCCATGGGTGAATGTGTTGTTGTAATCATTTCACACATGGCCTCAAGGGTTATGTGACATGACAAGTACAGCTTCTACATCCAAAAGAAAATAAGTAACAGTGCCTTACTGACTCTAGCTGAGGAACAACAGAACAGGCAGACACAACAAGGTGGCCAGCTGAATAACTATTACCACAATTCTGTACAACAGATCGTGCCTGTAGTTTGCTTTGTTATATATAGAATGGCCTTTAATTTATCCATAGTGATTGTGCATTAATTTGTCTTCCCTTAGGAGCATTCCATGCCTTTGATAAAGATGGAGATGGTATAATTAAACTCAACGTCTTGGAGGTAAATAATTTTATCTGTGTATTTTTTCTTTGGTCTATGGTCAGGCTGATACATTTTGTTTTAACTCCTCATCATCCATATTCTTAAGGGAATCTTGTCAGAGTTAAACACACATTATTGTCCAAATGGTAAAATACGGATCAAGTCTGCTAGAGAATATGCTATTGCTATAGGGGCTGATAAAAACTTATCTGAAGGCATAGTTTCATAGTCCAAGCTTCTGTCTTGAAATATCTAAACGACCTGTAATTACTCAGATGGCAGCAGACTGAACGTAGCCCTTTACCTACTGTAAAAGTAAGCTTCCAATACTTTTACTCCATGTAAGGCTTGTGGGTAAGATTAAAAAAATAAACAAACAGAAGGTGCATTTGCCCTGGGTAGGAATGGAGGAGCCCCTGACACTTTGCAGTAGGATAGGGATTTGAGAAAGTGTCCCGGGACAAAATTCACACTATTGCCACTGCTCAAAATGCTGTGTGACCTAGTGTTAGCAGTTAGCCATTCTCAGTGTTCTGTTGCGTGAATGATGAGAATAACAATTGTTTACCATTTTTCCAGTCATGTTGAAATCACTTCTATTGCTACATAACTTTCTCTCTTCCTTCAGTGGCTGCAACTCACCATGTATGCTTAAAATCCACCTGGCCTCCCTCCCCTTGTGCATGAACAATGCCCACTACGCTCAGGATTTCTGTTGGAAGCAACCAGGCACATTCACCTCAGAATATGAAGGACTTCTCAACGCAGCTGCCTCCCCTGATAAGAGCCACAGAGCGAGGAATCATTGTTACTCAAGGCAATGTGCATCTTCCTACTGAACTCCAGGAAGGCGCAATATCATTTAGCAGAGTGCTAACTGGAGGTCACTATCTGAAAACTAATATATTAATCCCTCCCTGATATTTTGCTTTTGCAACAAAGTTAACTTATTGATGACCAAATTTAAGCATTTTCAGCATGGTGAAGATACCCTCAGTTACTCCTCATACAAAGCACATGCCTTTCCAATACCATGCCAGCATCTGGAAAATATTTTCCCCATCTGTGTAGGACTAGTAATTCTAGATCAATGGATAGTCTTTGTGGGGCTAGGTCTGTACCTAAGTTGTTACTAGTAGGCACAACCGCCATCTTCTCACTCTTCCGTTCCTCTGTTCTAATCCTGGTTTCAGTGTTGTTAGTGCTGCATCTTCACAACAATGTACTCAACTATAGATCACATTGACATGTGTTTTTTCATGTGATGAACCATCAAGTATTTTTCATATTAGGTCTCATGGGCTGGTGTTGATCTTGTACAAGAACATAAGTGATAAGACATTATGGCTATGGCTGTCTCTGGACTGCATCCCTCTGCCGACAGAGGGATGCAAATCAAGCACTTCAGAAGAGCAAATGAGCCCGGGATTTAAATATCCTGGGCTTCATTTGCATATTCATGTTCCAACGCTGTGCCGATCAGGTTCAGTGTCGAAAGTGAAAGTAAAGTGTAGCCACAGCTCTGCTGCATTTCTGCTGACAGCGAGGGCTTTTTCGCCAGAGCCTGTACTCATGTTTTGAGGAGTGCATTGCTTTGTCTCTGCTATTTTAACCCACGGTAGCTAATTCTCCTCCCCCTCACTTTTTTTTAAAGTTTAGCTGCATCTTGTGTGCCTACAAGAGCTTGCTGTGGGATTGAAAACAAAACAATGAAATGAGGCACCAACAAAAAAAAGTGAGTTTAACTCATGGGTTGGCAATAAGCAGCTTTTGGGCCAGACACGGTTCATCAGGGTTAGCCTCTGGCAGGCTGCCAGGTGGTTTGTTTACTTGAGCATCTGTAGGCACAGCACCTAGCAGCTACCATTAGCCATGGTGTGCCATTCCCAGCCAATGGAGCTGGGAGAAGCAGCACAGGCAGGAACACCACTTCCCACAGCTCCCATTGGCCAGGAACAACGAACCTGGCCACCTGGAGCTGGAAGCGGCCGTACCTGCAAAGGCTCAGGTAAATAAGCATCTGTCAGCCTGCTGGGGGCTAGCATTAGTGAACCACATCTGGCCTGCAGGTCACTTATTGCCAACCCTTTGAAATTTAACTTCTCTCCATTTTCAATAGGAACGGGGTAACTATCTCCCTTAGCCTCTTCTGATAATCTGACCTGTAAATGTCTTGATATTTGGATACTAAGCTGCCTCATGACTATCTAGAAAACATACACCATTCTACTACAGGTATATTGTTATAAACCTGTCCTAAAGGGACTGAGAAAGTTACTGGATTCAGTTCTACTGACAGTGCTAATTGCAAGTTTGCTTAGCTTCCATCTCACATGGAAACTGTATCCTTCAGTTTTTAAGCTTACAAAAACTGCACTTTAATACAAGCAACTTCTGATCTTTTACTCTCTCAGCTTTTGTTCTTACAAGTCACTCACAGTGTATTTTATCAGACATACTATTATTAATCTGGAACAACTCGACTGTATCAACTGTTTGTGCCTCCTACTGATTTAATGTGTTAGTGCTGAGATTAAGGCTGGTCTATAAACTAGTACAGATCCAAAGCTGAGTTGTTAGATGGAAAGCAGCTTCCATGATTTGAAGCTCTTTTTAAAAATAGCAATGTGTCAATTACTTATCAGTTTACTCTGTTGTCTTGAGGTTTTCCTCCCAATTACATTGGCTTGTGGGTTTAAGTTAACCAGAGAGAAAGGCAAATTTACCAGACTAGCCTCAGACTTCATTCTGCAAAGCAATGAGACACCAAAACATGAGAATTAGCTATGTGCAAAGTGGCAAGCTTATGTGATTGACAGCATGCTTAATATGGAGTTTTAGAAAGAAAAACTATTACTGTGGAACCTACAACACACACATGGTAGAAGTGGATTTATCTTGCAAGGTGATTCCAAGTCCATTTGTAAATTAAGGGGTTCCTAGCTTCATTTAATGTGACTAATTCCAGAAAATGGAATTTGGTGCAATTCAGTCTAATAAATAAATACTTGTGCTTGTGGTTTGATCCTTTGTCTTTTTGTAGGAAACATGAGGCAAAATAAAATATTGGAAAGTATTTAATTATGCTCCTGTACATAGGATGCCTTGAGGCTATTTATATGGCAGAGAGGTTGGGGTTTCATATTGATTTCCCTCTAACTTACAGGCATTTGTAAATTAGAATCAACATATAAAGTCTCCAGAACAAGTAGCTAGAGGACAGAGAAGAAATTCAAACTAATGACATCAGTTTTAGTCATGATTACAGCCTCTGTTTATGTGGTGTGGTATCAGTATTCATGGAGAAATCATCTGTTGGGTGCAGAAGAAAGCTACCACAAAATTGTAATATTTAGCCCCAAAATATAGCACCTAATTTTTAAAAAGGGACAAACAAAAAATGAGATTAAAGATAGAATGCCAAAAAGACATTCTTAAAACGTGGAAGTTAATCCTATTAAGGAAAATAGAAAGGAGCATCAACTCTGACAACGTCTAAAAACATAACTGAGAAGACCAAAAAGGCATTTGAAGAACACTTAGCCAAAGACTTAAAATGTAATAGCAAACTTTAAGTATAGCAGAAGCATGAAGCCTATTAAACAGCCAGTCGAGCCACTGGATAAGTGAGATACAAAAAGAGAATTGAAAGATATTAAGGCCATTGCGGAGAATGAATTCTTTGCATCATCTTCCTGGCTAAGATGAGGGAGGTTCCCAAACCTCCAGAAGTGATCCCAGCCGATAAGCCTGACTTCAGTACTGAGCAAGCCAGTTGAAACTATAATAAAGAACAGTATTGTCAGACACGCATGAATATAATTTTTTGGGGATGAGTCAGCATGATTTCTGTAAAGAGTAATCAGGCTTTAACAATCTACTAGAATTCTTTGTTGGGGGTCAACAAGCATGTGGACAAGAGGGATCCAATGGTTATAGTGTACTTGGATTTTCAGAAAACCTTTGACAAGCTTCCTCATCAAAGGTTCTTAAGCAAAATAAGCTGTCATGGGATAAGAGGGAAAGTCATCTCATGGATCAGTAACTGCTTAAAAACCAGGAAACACTGGGTAGGTATAAATGGTCAGTTTTCAGAATGGAGAAAGGTGAAGTAGTGGTGTTCCCCAGGGGTTTGTTCCAACATCCTATTCAACATATTTGTAAATGATCTAGAAAAAAGGATAAACAACATGGTGGTAAAATTTGTAGATGATACAAAACTACTCAAAATAGTTAAGTCCCAGGCAGACTACAAACAGCTACAAAAAGATCTCTCAACATTGGATTGCTGAGCAACAAAATGACAAAATTAAATTGAATGTCAGTAAGTGGAAAGTAATGTACATTGGAAAACAATCCTGACTGTATATATAAATGATAGGGTTTGTATTAGCTGTTACCATTTAAGAAAGATCTTGAAGTCATTCTGGACAGTTCTCTGAAAATATCACTCAATGTGCAGCAGCAGTCAAAAATGTGGCCATATTGTGGAAAATCATTAGGAAAGGGCTAAATAATTAAGACATAGATAATACTGCCTTTATATAACTCCATGGTATGCCTGAATCTTGAATATTGTGTGTAGATGTGGTTGCTCCATCTCAAAAAAGATACACTGGAAAAGTTTAAAAAAGGGCATCAAAAATTATATGGGTATGGAATGTCTTCTCTATGAGGAAAGATTAGAAAGACTGGAACAGTTTGGATAAGAGATGATTACAGGGGGATATGATTGAAGTCTATAAAATCATGACTAGTGTAGAGAAAATAGATAACGAAATACCATGTAGTCCTTCTCATAACACAAGAACTAGAGGGTCACCAAATAAAATTAATAAAGCAACAGGTTTAAAACAAATGAAGTATTTTTTCCCCACACATGGTATAGTCAACTTGTGGAACTCCTTGCCAGAAGATGTTATGAAGACCACAGCTATAACACACAAGGTATAGTCAACTTGTGGAACTCTTTGCCAGAAGATGTTATGAAGACCACGGCTATAACAAGGTTAAAAAAAGAACTAGATATATTTGTGGAGGATAGATCCATCAATGGCTATTAGCCAGGATGGGCAGGGATGATGTCCCTAACCTCTATTTGTCAGAAGAAGGGAAATGAGCAACCACTTGATTGTGTGTTCTGTTAATAAATATGAGGTATACATATCACAGAACTGGAAGGGACCTCAAGAGATCATCCAGTCCAGTCCTCTGCCCCTCACTGCAGGACCAAGTACCATCACTGAGAGATTTACCTCAGATCCCTAACTGGCCCCCCTCAAAGATTGAGCTCAAAACCCTGGGTTTAGCAGGCCAATGCTTAAGCCACTGAGCTATCCCTCCCCACAGGTGCCTCTCTCTGAGGCACCTGCTATTGGCCACTGTCATATGACAGGATACTGGGCTAGCTGGGCCATTGGTCTGATCCAGTATGGCCATTATGATGTTCAAAATGTAGTGTGCAATCATTACAGAAGTTCCAGAAAAAAATAGCTACGTTTCGGCTATTCTTAGACATTGACAAATATTTTAAATTACAAAAATAATTCTGAGATGTGCCATTCAGGCAATTTATTCCTTAGAATTACTCCTAAGAAATTAGAAGCTCTAAATAACTAGATATTAAACCAGGCACATTTCATGCTGTCACTCTTTTTATTGGACCATATGCTGACTTGATATTGCTGGAATCTCAAAACAGTACCACAATACACAGGAGCAAAATGATGTGCACATTGTGGGAATGCGTTTTATTCCAATTTAGTGTCTTCTTTAAGTCAGTCTGGGCATGAATGATTTCTCCTTATCATTTAGCCAATACACCTCTACCATGGCATTCAAAACACTGGTTTGTTTGGATCTTTTTAATGCAGTTTTTGCTCAACTCAGTCTTAAGTTTTCATGCTTCAAAATGACAAAATGATTGTTTCTGAAGAGCTGAATTTTACTACTCAGCACCATTAAAATATTTAGGTGTCTACCAAGTTACAAGTCTAACTTTAGGCATCCAGATTTGAAAACATAGGCCTTTGTGTTCAAAACGCTATTAATATCCTTACCATCTCATGGCGGTACTTAAAATATTAGAGAAAGGTTAAATAACTTGCCTAAGTAACATGGCAACTCTAGTAAGGCAGTCCAGAACAGGAGGGTATCTGGATTCCAGCCCTTAGGTAAGTTCACAATCTTTATTTCTCAACTGAAAGCACGCACACAG